GAATTGGGGGAGAATGTAACTTCGTTTGTATACATTGTCTAGACGCACAGGCCCCGACGGTACTGCCTTTACGAGGCTTTGCCACAGGTCGTAAGCTGCAACTTCCATTTGAATATCTGGACTCCTATATGCGTCACGAATTACGTTGCAAAGTGTGTGCAGGCAGATGTTGCCACCCGCCTTTAGCAGAAGTGTCCACTCCAATATTGATCCTGGCATATTATTAATCATTTTGTGCATCAGCAAAATTATTGCATACCTACAATAAAAGGGAAAATATTACAAAGCTTTTTGACCCCCATCCACCCCTTTCCCCTTTCATTTTGGACTTAAATGATAAAAAAGGAATTTGAGACATACCGGTGAATTTCTGAAGGGTATTGCTGAAACTTCACCAAAAGGACAGGCAGGAGTTCAGCCAAGAAGTAGAATCGATAAAGAAACTGTTGACTTTGAATGGATTCTACTTTGCAACTCCTAATTAATGTTCGCCTTTCCATCTTCAGTTGCAGCTTTATGTTACGTGAGTTGTTGTAACCAACCCCGTTGCAACAATTCAACAAATACTCTCTCCATTCACTTGCTCCCAAATAATCAGCCCAAAGGAGGGGATCGCGATTTCGATGGTCATTGAACAGGTACTCTGCAGATTCGCTCACAATTTGGCCTGCTTTCGCTGAAAAGACAAGGTTAGATCAACCTCTGCTATAAGAAGAGGGGAGGGAGGTTTCGATTAAAAGAGTGGAGCATTAGCGTACCTCTATGTCTTGAAAGCAAAGCCTCAATGAATGCCATATTTACACGAAGACGCTCAGCCTCCCTTTCTACCTGCGCCTTCACGTAGTGGTCTTCAGCATATCGGCTCTTCTCTATCTGCGAAATAATGGAGTCAAGAAGTGCGAGGACACACCCCTCCACTATTTCCTCCCTGCTGTAAAGTATCAAGGCAGCAACGCTGGCGGTAAGGTTGAATTCGGGGAGCAGAAGCCACTTGATAATTCCAGCATTTGATTGGGAAATAAGATGCAAGTAGTTAAGAATAATAACCACTTCATTAAGAAGAGCTTCATGAGTTTCGAATTCGTCTTTATCTAGATCAAAATGCAAGAGAAATTGGTAACATTTACTGAGCTTGAATAAAGCGAATTTTGCCTCAAACACGGGGACGTACCCTCCATAGAATTAATGAGCCAACCATGAGGCAAGGTAATCAAGACGCTTGTGGGCACGTCTTCATCTTGTCTTTGGTGATATATTCGAGCGCAATTATCACTGAGAGCCTTGAGCAGAACGCCAATGGTTTTGAAATTGCAATCAAAGAAAGGTTTGTCAGTTGAAGCAGAATTGGCCTCATAAACTCTTCGTAACAGACGGAAAATGGCTTCGCGAAGCTTGCTTGACCCAAGGTGAGTAAGTTGTAATGCGACAGGAAGTGAGTCTATTATAGCTCCGCTGTATTGTAAACTTAAACACTCAATGATATATATTATTCTCGTTATCATAGACCTGATATCGAAAGGTAAAGACAAGTAATTCAGTAGCAAATATTGCAGAAACAACTCCATAAATCGGCTATTTTTCAATTGATACCCAGAATTGGAAATAGCGTCTTCTGCCATCTACATGGAAAAGAGGTTATAAGCACTTCAACTTAGGAAATCGAGGTGAGGGTGAGGGGTTGAGAAGTGGGTAATTTACAACGTTGTCATGACAGTTTAACAATTAGTCAATTTCTCAGACAAATATATAACAATCTGGACTTACCACTAGATATTCGCTGAGTGAAGAAATGTCAGCCTTTTCTATTTTGAAACCAATGATATCCAAAAACATTTTCCGCAATTCCTTGCAGTTAAAATATGATCCTTTTTCTTTTAACTTTTCCCAAATACGCTTTCCAAGTTGTATAGCAAAAGATGAATTTGTGGAACATATCTTAAAGTAGCTGAGAAGTCTTCGGTAAATGCTGATGAACTGTTCTTTTGGAACCCCTGTGCTTAGATTTTCAATATCATCGAGTGCTTGACGACGAATGTTGTCGTTCGCGTTCTCGAGATCAATGAACGAGTTTTCAATTTGGGATGAAGAATCCGTCTGAAATTGGAGCAAAATTGAGTAATTATCATATGCCTACTACTATTTCATGTAGCTATTAGAAGTGAATTTACAATATACCATCTGACGCACTGTAGATTCAAGGGCAAAACTTTCACCTTTTAATGGGATTATTTGTGCGTATGTCTCTATGTGGGTCGACTCACAATTGATCTGATATTGCAAGTCAATTAAGGTAGATTAAGAATTCATATGAACATTCCTTATCGGTGTTCACAATCAATAGACAACAGTTAATTTTGACTCAAATTAATACAGTTTCACGTTTAGAGAGAACTACAGTTCATCAGTGGATACGAAAGGAGTAAAACTAAACAATGGAATCATTTTACCAACAGTGCTATGCTTATTGATTGAAGAGAAAAGCATTTTAAATAATTTAATAATCACTTACGTATAATATTTCAGCAACAGTACGCGTTATCATGCACGGCAATATTATGAATTAAGCGCCAATGGACTTAAAGAATCTTCTCAAATATGGAATACAAAAAATGTTTAGTTTTAATTTTCAGTTAGTAATTATTAATAATTTATTTTTCTGTTAGATTTCATAATTATAATTTTAAGGGGGCTAATAGTAACATTCGATTCGAGTTTTTGTTTTAATTCATTCCAAGGAATATTTTGAAAACTTACGCAAATCCAAAAGTGCTCAATCTTTTATATTAAATGTTTACATTCTAGATAAATAAAAGTCTATTTAAAATCAATGAAAGCCATGATTTTTGTAAAATGTGTGCATTGAGCAGATAGGCATTTACTTGTTGATGAAATAACAGCCGATTTTGATGACCATGGGCCCATTTGCATCGCTCAAATTGTAACAAAATATTATTGGCTATAGACGCATCGAGCATGTTTCAAATGATAAAATCACCTTTCGTTATGAGACTAGTATCAATGGAGGATGTTTTGAAAGAGGATCATTCAGTCCAAAGGCGTTTAAAGTTTAAAACGTGTTCCTTAGCATCGTCTTTTTTTATTCTGAGACGATACAAACAATCTCAACTATTATTTTGTTGTATCGATAAAGTAATTTGAATTGGACATTGGCCAAATAAGATTCAACTAATTTAATTTGCTATCACCAAATAACTACTTTAAACTAATTAAATGAAATCATCAATTTTTACAGAATCAAGACATGTCAGAAAGCAAACGAATTACTC